AGCAGAAACGCCACTAGCAAATCGATTATTAACTAAAGATGAACTCAGCACGAGCAGAGACGCCACTGGTGAGTTTAGGCAAACAAACTATAGAAGAACCCAACGCGAGCAGAAACGCTACTGGTAGGCTTAGGCAAACAAACTGAAAACAACTCAGCGCGAGCAGAAACGCCACTGGTGAGTGTAGATAAACAAACTATAGAAGAACCCAACGCGGGCAGAAACGCTACTGGTGGGCTTAGGCAAACAAACTGAAAACAACTCAGCGCGAGCAGAAACGCCACTGGTGAGTGTAGATAAACAAACTATAGAAGAACCCAACGCGAGCAGAAACGCTACTGGTGGGCTTAGGCAAACAAACTGAAAACAACTCAGCGCGAGCAGAAACGCTACCGTGAGTCAAAAGAGCCACAAAATTAACGTGGCAAATCAAAGCGAACAGTAAACTACTGCTGAGAAAAGAACGAAAACTTACCAGTCACCGCAGATCTGGTAAGGTGAAAGCAGCTTGTGCAGCCCCTGGAGGGCGAGACTTACCCGCAGCTCCGACCAAACCCGGTCACGGGGCTACCAGCAACAAGCAGCCAGGAAACTAGTGGTATACACAGAAGCAACCAGCTTCACACGACCACACTCCGGTACTCAACACACCTGCGCGCGAGAAGAACAAAAGGGATTGATTGCCGGGTGCCACGTGACTATATAGAGTCACGTGGGTCCCCGGCAGGTCACAGCTGACTTTGTTGTCATTAATACTCGACCTGCGCATGCGCAAGAATGATCATTCAGTGCTTGAAGCACCGCCTCTGGCGGTCAGTAGGGATGAAATAGAACCTCTGATTAAGAGCGGGGCTGCCTGCACTGACGCGGCTCAGGGATTACGTCACACGGAGCGTCGTGCGCAGTGAAATCAGGACATTTCCTCACTTTCTAAAAAAAACCCGGGACGCCCGGGACAGGACGTGAAATACGGATATGTCCCGGGAAATACGGACGTTTGGTCACCCTACTCTATATATTAAAGTGAAATTTGTTTCTACATGAGGAAGCCAAACTGAAAATCACAGCAGCAGCTGTGTTATTAGTATCATGCTGAGGGTCTAAGTGCTGAAAGTGTATATTAGTGTATAATAGGGCTGCAGCTAATAATTGTTTTGCAAATCGATGAATTAGTCCATTAGTTTTATTGATTAGTTATCGGATAACTAAATGTTCCTTAAAGAAGATTTTTTACAAAATCAAACCAGGTGAAGCTAAAAATTTTCCACTTGAGGAGTTCTGTATAGAGCATATTGACAGACATTTGTTTTATCTTAAATGTAAAAGGTTTATCTATTTTTTTATTACAATTTTGATATAAATACAGCTTTAAATATGTTTCTCTGTCAGCTAAAGGCATGTTTAATAACGTTAAAGATTAATCGATTATTAAAGTAGTTGACCATTATTTAAATAATTGATTAATCTAATTCCGTTTCAGCCCTAATGTAAAACATAGGGGTAAATATAAAAATGTAGACACTCTTAATTCTTAATAACAAGAAATAAATCCCCAAAACACATCTACACTGGTTTGGCTATAAATGAAGCAGAATAAAAAACATTTCCGAATGCAGAAATCAACCCTATAGGAACATCTTTCCTTTGTTTGTGAGTCTGTGCTGGGAAACAAACCAACTTTAATGAGCTCTATCAGTGCTGCCATAAAGGAAATAAACAAACTTCCTGACAGGATCATGAACTTGTGCCCCAAAGCTTTTATTTGCATAAAAAAAACTGTGCTGCTTGTTGTAACATCCCTCCACCCTGAACAAATGCAGCATTAAATGTTAATGAGATTTTCATGCAGGTAACCATTGCATGTTAAGTTTAAACAGGTAAGACGATCTCTTGGGAGCAGATTTACTGCAAATCTAAAAGGCCAACTTTTTCTCAATATTATATCAGCCAGATCACACCATATATATCACTTATGATTATAAATATTGTTTCATTTTTATTCTGTTTCAGACCCATTCAGCTATTTCATTCCACCAGCTTCATCACCCAGAGCATCTGAGGACGCCTCCTGCCGTCCGCCCCTCCGCAGCCGCTCGCCACGCTGGCTACCGCCATGACTTCCACCACAGATTTCGACAATGTGGAGATCACGCAGCAGTACAGCCACATCAACACCCGCTTCGACCTCTCTGATGGGGAGCTCGACAATGACAACAGCTCTGCCCGGCTGTTTGAGCGCTCGCGCATCAAGGCCCTCGCAGGTGAGCGCCTGCATAACAAACAGGCTGTGTCCTCCATGACAGATTCTTGAGATGAAAGTATATTTTGCAGTGGGGGAAAGGGTACAGAAGGTGAGCTATAATGAGAGAGCAATTGTGTAACTTTGGCAGGGTTGAGTGAGCCTGAATAAAAAACACCCTCTCTACTTAAAAAGAAAACAAAAAACATCAGAACTTCTCTACTGCTGATCTTTAAATGTTCATATCCACACAGGTTTTTTTTTTTAAACGGTCTTTCCGTGTAAATTTCTGTCATAAGATCACTCGTGTTCTCCCAGCAGCTGAGCCCTGACACCGATCCACACCCTCTATGAGGAACTGGGATCACTTACACATTCCCTGGATGTTCAGTCTGACCGATCTGGACAGCTGCCCTGCCTGTTTGCCTCCCATCCAATCTCTTGCGTTTGTAGCTAAGCTGGTAGGCCGTGATCCACCTGTGGCTCGGCTGCTCTGGATTTTAAAATAGCTGTGTTTCTGCTGTGGAACCACTTGTAATAGAAAAGTCAGGGTTTCAGGTCATACTATTTTCATGTTTTTGAAGTAACAACACAAGATATGAATGAGGGACCAACAAATAACTGCAGCGATGAGGGGAGGGAGCTCATATGCTGCTTTATTTAAAACCTTCTCTGGAGCAAGAAGCTTGAATTCACTGATCTATAAGCTGTTGCCTCAGGTTTCCCCTAACCACCGATGTAAACACGTCTGCAGACCCAGAATGCTGCATTTCCATCTTCAGCTGCTTTTTTTTGCCGTTTTTATTGTTGAAAGCAGATGCTTGCGTGAGCCGAGAGGAAGCCAATGGTTCAGACATTTATATTGAGTAAAACTAACTCAACACATTGCTTTGGGATTCCTTGTTTCCTGCAGGGTCAATTCACAACTCCTTACTAGTGTCTAACTCAATGATTTAGCTGCTTGTAGAACTACTACGGTACGAAAGAAGCTGCTTTTTAGTAGGATTTATTGTTTTTATCAATGTCTGGCATTATTATAGAGACATTTTGACCTATTTTTTTTTTTACAGCATTCATTGATTTATTCCTACACAGCTTGTTCCCAATGTTTGATTTAAATTGCGGCCTTTCTTGTCCTAAATCCGTGTCTGGAAGCCATCATCCTGTATTTTACTGCTTAGTTTTGGGTCACTGTACAGTTTGGTTTGCATTGATGGCAGAGCAGTGAATGCAGGAGCCTAAATCATCTCCCCTCCACCATCATGCAAGACAAACAGAAAGCTCTGCATCTTCTTTGAGGAATATCTTTATTTTTTGTTATTTTTTGAAGGACTTTCCCTCAAAGGTTGTTATTTGAATATTTCTCATAGGTCTTTCAGCTTTTATTTAACAATTAGGCTGATTTTTAGGATAATTTCCACTGAGCTGTAATTTGCAAGATGGTGAAACTTTTCTGACTGTGATGAACTGCTTTACATGGTGGACAATTTCACATGTTGCTCATGTAAAATTGAAGATTTCACTATTTTCCTTTCACACCTTTTATTTTACCTGAAAATAAACCTATAGGTATTAACTCCATTTACATTATTTAGATATATGAGCTGTTCATTTTTGTCATTAATTGGCTTATTGGAAATCTCCTGGTTGACTGCGTCAGAACCAGAAATCCCTCTAATTGGGGTCTATCTTTACCCACCTGCAAGTGCACTTTGGTGCACTTTTTAAGTAATAGTGAAATACAGATTGGTGTTAATAATCCTTTGATTCTTTTGCTTTATTTTGGATTTAAAATTACTTTTATCAAAGAACCAGCAGCTATTTGTTTCGTTTTGTTTGTTAAAGTTTGCAGAGAAAACAAAAAGGACTTGGTCATAATTGCGAGCAGCAGGTCGGACTTCAGAGAAAGCTGGAAAAACATCATTATCCAGAAAAAGCCTGATCTATTGCTGTCTCTTTGTTTGTTAACCAGCTCGGATGTCGTAAGGATTAGGGCTGAGAATCGTGATCTGTTTTCAGCACCTAATGTTGTCTCCTCTCTGAGGAAGTCCAGAATGATTTTCTTCCTCTCCAGGATTTTCATCCAGTGCTTTACATCTCTTGCTCTTTTTTCACGTCTCTTTAAGTAATGAAGGCTTCAGGTTTGAGTGTCAGTCGGTGATATTGTGTTAGAGTGCTGCTGCTGCACTGATGCTTCTGTAATGTAATCAGTGTTTCCTGTCAGGGAGTGAAAAAGAAGGAGGGGGAAAAAGATGTGAGAGGTTCTGAGCAGCACCTAGGTCTGGTGTAGAGCTTGTGAACTCAAATGTGAACCCATTATGCTTTAAGCACATAAAGTATGTAATGCAGATCCATTGTCTCACAGAAGTTTTAAAACGATTCCTTCTTGTTTTTACACTAACACGCATGATGTTGTTACTTGTCTGGGTTGTTGGCTCAAAAAATTGGGACTGAGCTGATTGTGTGCCTCATGCTCAGCACTGGTACAGCTGTGTGGGAGGTGTAGGAACATGTGTATGCATTGAAACATACTGTATGCATGGATGGGGCTGCAGAAATCACTCTGAACTAAACTGAAGGCTGCCTGAGCCCTCGTGCTGCCTGAAAGTGGAGGCAGAGCTTTATCAGGGTAACAGTGAGGAGAGAGTAAGAAAGAAAAGAAGAGAGGAGGGAGGGAGGGAGCGGGAGTTAATGCAAAAGGGATCTGGAAAAGAGGACAGAGAGCCAGAAGAAAGAGAGAGGAGAGGTGTGCCAAGCTGCTCGGCCGGCTCCAGTCGAGGTTTTCTTGCTGTTTGTAATAGTTCGGTGGGGGGTCAAGATGAGCAGCCCGTGCCTGCTGCGCACTGCCCCCATAAGCCAACCCCGGCTCAGAGAGGTCAAGATCAGCCTCAAGTCCAGCAGCAGGGATGCTGGAGCCGTTCGGAGCAGCAAGGAAGCCGGAAGCCGTCCCTTCACCCCAGCAGAGAAAGAGGCCCAAGTTCGGGTGGGAGTGAGCAGCAGCCGGAGCAGGAGCACCCCCCCGGTCCATCGTGCCCTCAGAGCCGAGAGCAGGAAGGCAACAAGCAAGCTGCAGGTACAGGAGCACCTCCCTGAGAGGAATGGCACCGTTCTGCACATCCCACTTCCCTCCGCGCCCACAGGGTTATCCCCATTTTCCTCCTCATCATCCTCATCTTCTTCTTGCACCCCCCGGCGGCCACGGCCCTCTCAAACCCACCCGGACCTGGCCCCCGTCCTTTCTTCATCCTCTTCTTCCACGTCAGCCAGGAGCATGAAGCGGGCACGCTGGCTTAGTTATAGCACCTCCAACATCTGCTTCAACTCCATCTTGGATGGACGCTTCAGGCAGCTGCAAGGTAACCGGGTCCCAACTGTGGGGCCATGTGTTCGTCTTTACTCACAGAGTGGGTCCATCTTCTCTTGCCTCACAGATGGCCCTCCCTTTTCCATCATATGTCTAGTTTCATGTCCGGGCACTAAAGGGGGGGTGAGGTGTGATGTTAGTTTATCATTAGAGCCAGTGTAAATAAACATCTACACTGGTGGAAGTTTGTTCATTTAATGGAAGCTTTGATTTCTCACATTTTTATTTATTAAATATTCTAAATAACATCAACTTTTAGCCTTTTTTTACAAGACGCAGGCCATTGAATGGCCTTTAGCTCTAACCAACTTCTCTATAACAACTAGATGTTGTTATAGAGGTTTAACTCCTTCTGGTTTAACTCCTTCCTGGCTTCTTTGTTACAGTTTAAAGTGACAAGCCTGCCATCACAGTGAATTTTTTATTTTTTTTTGCACGAGCTTGCACTATGCTATCTAACTCCCTGATGACAGGAATGCATTAGTGAGAGGAAGAAAATGGAGGAGACGATGCAGGAATGGAGGGAAAGGCTTTCTTTTTTCCCCCCTCCTGCCTCTGCTACATTTCAACTATCGACCGATCCTGGAGGCTGCAGAGGCAACCGATACGCTAAGCTGCAAACTTCTAAAGCTTTTCTAAATCAGATGTGTCTTGAGATGGGCCGAGCACATCAGTTTACCAACTGTATGCCAGGACGTCTCTCTTGCATGATTTTTACATCAACTGTTAGGAAGATTGCAACAGAATGAAGTTTGAAACGAAAACTGGGCTAAAATAAAACAGAACAAGATGAAGAGGCAGAAAACGTTTTTTATTGCATCTATTGATTGGAAGCATGCCTCTATTTTCTGGCTTTTTAGAAGTTAGACATGCCTCTTTAGTGATGTTTTCCATGTGAACAAATGTTCCTTCCATTTTTTTTTACTTATTAACCTTATTTTTTTCAGCTCTTTAAAGGAATAGTACAGCCAAAACATGATTAGCCTTCATTTTCTACTCACCCCCATGCTAAACAACACTCTGGAGTACTTTTTTGATATCTCAAATGCATCTGGAGATCTGGGAGGCTTCTTGCTGTCTGCTGACATTCAAATAATGGAGGTCTATGGCGCCCGAGGCAGAAAGGTCCATAAAAGTCCACAAAAAACGTGTCAATATTCCTCCATACTGCTCGTCCAATGTATTCCAAGTGTCCTGAGTGGGTAGCGTCCATAATTTACTGGAAACGAAGTCATTTAGAATGTTTTTAGAGCATAAACAGTAGTGTATAGGATTTCCTAAAAGCGCGTTCACGACGCTACGGAAACCGCGGCAGACCAAACCAGACGAAAGTGCGCATTCAGCTCGGCAAAGAACTCATGCTCTTCCTCAACACTGAAGTCCTCAAACATTTTTCTTTCGTTGTTTCTTTCTTTGCACAGGTAAACAGCACATTTCTTCTTCTACGCTTGCATTATTGGCAGAGCAGACGCTGAATGCGTACTTTCATCTGGCTTGGTCTGCCGCGGTTTCCGTAACTCGTGAACGCGCTTTTAGGAAATCCTATACACTACTGTTTATGCTCTAAAAACATTCTAAATGACTTCGTTTCGAGTAAATTCTGGATGGACCTTTCTGTCTCGGGCGCCATAGACCTCCATTATTTGAATGTCAGCAGACAGCAAGAAGCCTCCCAGATCTCCAGATTCATTTGAGATATCAAAAAAGTACTCCAGAGTGTTGTTCAGCATGGGGATGAGTAGAAAATGAAGGCTAATCATGTTTTGGGTGTACTATTCCTTTAAAGTAGTCACATTTTTTTTTTATTTATCTTTATATTATTTTTAATTTTATCATGTACAACTACTACATTGTATTGATTCTATTGGGTTCATATCCAATAGCTTAACATAATTGTCCATAATTGTGAATTGAAAAAAGATAAATGATATAAATGGTTAAACAGAAAATAAAAAAGTAAACAGAGACTGAGATTTTGTCAGATTTTTCTCCTGCAAAATGTCTCAAATCTGTTATAATTAATATTGTGTGTGATTAAATATCAGGTTTTCGAGCTTTGGCACAGGTTCTCGATAAGGTCTAGCTTTGGACTTTGACTAGGCCGTTTTCCGTTATGCTTCTTTCACTACTTCTAAGAGCTTTTCAATCAAGGATGACCAAAATTAGCTTCAATGATCGTCTCAGCTACTCTGACCGGCTGAAGAAAATCGTCCCCACAGCATGATGCAGCCACTGTTGGCATGATGTTTATTGGGTGTTACAAACTATAAGCAGGACTTCGAGAATATTTTTGGCTTGCTTCTTGTTATTTTTCATGATGGAAGTATTTGTTACATAGCTTCAACAAGAGCTGCAACCAATGATCATTTTTTCAAATCGATTAATCTATTGATTATATTTTTCTATTAATCGATTAAAAATTGGATAGCCTGAAGTTTCTTAAAGAACATTTTTTACTAAACCAGGTAAAACTAAATCTTTTCAACTTCTGGAGTTCTGGATCGAGCATATTGGCAGACGAAAACATTTTTTTTAATTTTAAATGCAAGAAGTTTATGTAGTGTTTTTCAATTTTGGTATCATTACTGCTCTAAGTGACTCATTTTGTCAGCTAAAGGCATGTTTTTAAGTCTCTACACTCCAGTTAACGATTAATCGATTACTTAATTAGTTGAGGATTATTACAATAATCGATTAATCTGATTAATTGTTTCAGCCCTAGCTTCAACCTCCTGAATTGTAGAGATCCTCCTCACCTGTTTGCTGTGTCCCTTGTTGTATCAAATGGAGATAACGGCACACTTAAACATGTTAAACACATCTTAAACAACATTTAAGATATTCTTTTTGCAAAGAATATCTTAAATGTTGCTTTCAGTTTGTGCTCAGTATTGAGTCTTTCGCATAAAAAAAGCATAATAGCTAGAATTTTGTAGTTGCAATGTAAGGGGTGTAAATACTTCTGCAAGGCTCTGTAGTTTGTGCCTTAATATTGCCAAGTTTTGCCTTTCTCATGCATCTTGTGCATCCCAGCTCTAATTCCCCTAATGCTCAGTCAGACATAAATAAACTTCATCAAATGCACATTAATCTGATCTTCAGCAGCTTCAGACAGTTCATTTAAAGCAGCAGTTTGTTTACTTTAAAATGTGTCATGAGAGAGCTTGCAAGGGCAAAAAAAGAGGCCAGGTTTCATTGGCATGCATCTCTCCAGTCTACCTGTCCTTGTGTCATGGTGTCATGGCTGCAGGACAGATTGCTCTGACTTTGCCATGGCAGGGGCATGTAGGATGATGCTCTGGGGCTACTGGGCCGCATCCAGTATGAGCTGGCACTAAGGGAAAAAACATATCAAGCCGTGTACAGGGAAAATCCATCAACATGAATAAGTCATAGGGCTTTCACTGGAGCCAAAGAGTGGTCGAGATACTTCTCTGTAAAAGCATGCGAAACATAAGAATACTTAGTAAAACCTGTACTGGTATAAGGGACATGAGAAAAACAAAGGAAGTTTGGACACACAAGAAAGAGATGGAGGTCTGTCTCATTTTGTGTGGACAAGAAAACTGGGAACTAAATGCTAAACATGAACTATAACTGTTCCTTCCACACATGATGGTTATTAAATGTAAGACTTACACCTATAGCTAAAACTTGCACATGATCTGGATCATTACCAAATTTAAATGGATTCCTCTTTGGCATAAGGCACACTTCTGTTTAAGAAAATCCATAAAAATAGTTCATAAGTTTTCAACTGATCCTACAAACAAACCAACAAAGTTCAATCTTCTTTTCTTTTTCTCTTCAGTAAAATACCTCCGGACTTTTTGAGTATGATGCTGAGGCTGTCAGTAGTCACTGCTGCCACCCTCTGGTTTAGTGGGGTGCTGCTTGTTCCGCAACATATCAGTATCACACATTGTTCATCACTAGATTTTACTGGATTGGCGCTTGGCATGAGGGATGCCTCTGATAAAATGGTGCTAAAATCCATCTGTAACTGTTCCAGTTATCCTGACACAGACAGACAGACTCTCCTAAATAAATAACCTCCTTGGCAAAGGTAATAATGGCAGCTTCTTTCCTCTGAAACAGCAAAACATTAACCAACCATACAGTCATGATATCCTATGAACAGCTGCGTTCAAAAATAGAAGTAAAATGATTTGTTTACATATCTGAAGTGATACTTTTACTCACAGGGAGTCAGACTTAGTAAAATAAAAAAGTAAAGATCAAAGTCTTAGAATATTTGCTGCAACCTTTTTTTTCTATTTACTCTCTCAGTTTTACTCAAAAGACTGTCAGCCCTGCATACTTTTGGGATGGTCCAGTGTTGCTATAGCTTAACAGGCCGCAGATGCACAATTCTAGCATTTTTAATTCGATTATTTCTAAATTATAGTGGGGCTGAGCAGTGGAGCAATGGGTAGCACTGCTGCCTTGCAGCTAAAAGGTTCTGGTTTCGATTCCCTGCCTGGGGTCTTTCAACATATTCTCGTTATCAGTTTGTATGAAATCGTACGAAAAGTTATGCACAGTATTTTGGACGTTTTTCCTCAAAAAACAGATCAGTGCGCATGCGCAGGCAGACAGACGAAAAAAGCAGATCCGCGTACGGACGTAAAACTGGGAAAAACAGTGCAATAATTACTTCTTGATGTCTCTAACTAGGTTGCTTACTGTTTTGTATCTTAGGGTTAGGGTCAGGTTTAGGGTTAATTGTATTAAATTCTATGTTATTGAATGGTGCGTAAGATGCGCATGCGCAAGGATATCTTGTCTCCAGGCAAGACGTAAAAATATGACGAAATACAACGTAAAAAACGTCCAAAACGTACGAAATTACTGTGCAGAACTTTTCGTACGATTTCATACGAACTGATAATGAGAATACACTGGGTCTTTTGGCATGTTTGCATGTTCTCCCTGGGCATGCGTGGGTTCTCTCTGGGTACACCGGCTTCCTCCCACAGTCCAAAACCATGA